AGGCCGTCTTGGGTGGACCTTGGGCCGTCTTGGAGGCATCTTGGGGCCATCTTAGCCGTCTTGGAGGCCACTTTGGCCGTCTTGGAGGCCTCTTGGGCCCTCTTGGGGCCGTCTTGGGGGCCTCTTGGGCCGTCATGGGGCCATCTTGGAGACCTCGTGGGCGATCTTGGGGGCCTCTTGCGCCGTCTTGAGCCGTCGGAATGCCGAGAAGTAGCACATGCCAAAACCCTTCAACAAGTTACGGAAATTCAGTGATGTTGGCCTCTTCGGGCCCTCCTGTAGGACCTCTTGGAGGCTTCTTGGGCCGTCTCTTGGAGGCCTCTTGGGGGCCTCTTGGGCCGTCTTCGGCCATCTGGAGGCCATCTCGGGCCGTCTTGGGTGCATCTTGGGCCGTGTTGGAGGCAACTTGGGGCCATCTTAGCCGTCTTGGAGGCCATCTTGGCCATCTTGGAAGCATCTTGGAGGACATCTTGGGCCATCTTGGAGCCATCTGGGGCAGGACAACCCTCGGCAACCACCTCTGGAAGATCCTGGGCAATCCTTTCGGGTGGCCGGCGGGACGCGCGAAGCCCCAGGTTTTTTTGTTTTTTTTTTGGGGGGGGGGGGGGGAAATGAGCCAAAACCAAAACCGAAAGGATCTAGCGCGCCAGGCACCCCTGTGATGAATCAACAGGGGGCGGCGGATCCGAGTGGCTTTCGGCCCATCCTGCCACCGTGTCTGGGATGTGGGTCTGAGGCCTCTTGTATATGCGTTGGGGTGTCGTGGGGAGCATCTTAGGGGCCTCTTGGAGGCGGTTTCGGCTCCTCTTGGTCGCCTCTTGGGGCCTCGTGAGGTTTTGTTGGGCCTCCTGGAGGCCTCTTTGGCGCGTCTTGGGCGCCTCTTTGGGCTTCTTGGGGCCTCCTGGGGGCTTCTCGGGGTTTCTCGGAACCCTTCTTGAGCCATCTTGGAGCCCTCTCGGGCCGTCTTGGGGCCCTCTTGGAGGCGTCTTTGGTTGTCACGGGGCGTTCCTGGGAGTTTCTTAAGCCATCTTGGAGCGTCGGAAAGCTGAAACTGCGAGAACCCCAAACTCCTTCAAACATCTTTTTTGTAAAATCGGCGATGTTGGCCTCTGGGGGCTCTCTCGGGAGGCCTCTTGGAGCGCTCTTGGGGCCGCTTGGGGCCCTCTTGGACCGTCTTGGAATTATATTCGGGCGCCTTGGAGCATTCTTGGCCTCGGCAATACGAATATGGCCGAATGTGCGAGGGTTTACGGCCACGTAGACGCGAACATTGAATACTTTACGAGGGTAGGTTGCCTCGGGAACGCAAACATTGCGCAAGTTGCGAGTGCTTGTGGCCTCGGGGGCGCAACGACCTCGTAACGTGCGAAGGGTTCTGGCTTCGGGGACGCGGCTATTTGACAATGTGCGAGGGTTTGTTGCCTCGGGGACGTGAATCTTTCTCATTTGCGCGGGATTCTGGCTTCGGAAGCGCGAATACTGTGTAAGTTGTCAGGGTTTGTTGCCTCGGGGACGCGAAACGTGAGTAATCTGTGTTGCTTCGGGGGTGCACGAATTGCGTACGTTGCGAGGGTCAATGGCCTCGGGGACGCGACTATTGTATAATTTAGGAGGGGTTTGCTTGGGTTCTTGGTCTCGGGGACGCGGATATTATGTAATGTACGAAGGATCGTTGCCTCGGGGGCGCAACTGTGGCGTAATTTACGGTGGATCGTGGCCCCAGAAGGGCGAATGTACTGTAATTCTGGACGCTTCGCGTAACCCCACCAGGTCCCCCCGCGGTCGCAGAGGGTCCCCCGCAGCACGTGTGGAGGGATCACAGAAGCCACTGTACCCACAAGTTCCACTGGCATCGCCACTCTCCCCTCCTCCTTTTATTTACTGGACTTGCGGCTATCGGCTGCGCCTCTCCTCCTCCTCCTTATCTCGTGCTGGTACGCCGCACTGCGCCACACGGATTCCCCCCATTGTGACTCCGCCGGGGCACTCTGGCATCCCACCGGCACCACTTGGGGCTGGACTGTGGGAGTGCTGTCCCGCCAAGCGGTACATCCTTTGGCGGGTCACCGTTGTTCCCCCCTGGTCCTGCCCCGCTACCTCGGCTGACGCTTGCATCTGTTACCTTCGTCCCCCGGGACGGACAAGCTGCCCGCGTTGTACGCCGGAAAACGTCTCTTGGGAGCATCTTGGAGGTTTCTTGGGCGCCTGTTGGGGCCTCCTGGGCGCCTCTTGGGGCCCTCTTGAAGCGCTCTTGGGAGCCTTGGGAGCGCTCTTGGGGCCATCTTGGAGGACATCGATCAAGCAAGCAGCGAGCATTAGTTAGCGTTGCCCCTCGGGAGCCCAACAAATCGCCTCTTGGGGCGCTCTTGGGGCGCTCTTGGAGCGCTCTTAGGCGCTCTTGGGGCCGTCTTGGGGCTCTCTTGAGCCTCTCTTGGAGCCCTCTTGGGCCATCTTGGAGCCATCTTGAGGCCTCGGATGGCCATCGGAAGCGAAAAGGCGAGAAAGCCAAACACATAGATTTTCCAAAAGTTTTGGCATCTTCGGGGGCCTCCTGGGGGAGCTCTTTGGCCACTTGGAGCCGTCTTGGAGCGGTCTTGGCGCATCTTGGAGCATCGTGGGAGCCATTATGAGACATCTTGGGATATCTTGAGCCATCTTGGAGGTCATCTTGGGCTCTCCCAGGCGCTCGTGGAGTCATCCTAGTCAGTGCCCCCCCCAAGAGGCCAACATTTGGGTAAATCCTTAGTTAAATCAATGATTTGGCATTCTCGCCGAGGCCTCTTGGAGCATCTTGGGTGCCTCTGGGGGGTCTCTTGGGGCCTCGTGGGGGTCTCTTGGGAGCCTCTTGAGGGCATCCTGGGGGCCTCTCGGGTCTTCCTGGCCACCTTTTGGAGCCCTCTTGGGGCACCCTTGGGAGCCTTGGGGGCCATCTTTGGGCCATCTTGGGTGAGATCGATCACAGGAGGGGGGGGGCGCGAATTAGGGTCCCCCCCATTCAGGAGGCCAGCATGGGGCCAAAACCATAGTAAAACCAATGATTTTGGCTTCCTCGCCGAGGCCGTTTCGGACGCTCCGACACCTCGCGAACCCCCCCGTCCAGGTCCATGGGAAGTGGGTCGGGGAAAGGGTCAAGAGTCCCCCTCCCCGCCCGCAAGCCGTCTCGCTCACGCCCACCCGCCCTCCCAACACATACGTAGCACCCGAGCCTGGCCCGAGCCGCAGCATATGCAGCAGTCGTCTTTGGATGGCCAGCTACTGGGGGCCAATCCGCCGCCGCCGCCGCCTCCGCCGCCGCCTCCGCCGCCGCCGCCGCCGCCGCCGGCGCCGCGCCGCCGCCGCCGCCGCCGCCGCTGTCCGCCGCTGCCGCCGCCACCGCGCTGCCCGCCTCCGCAACCCGCCGCCGCCGCCACCCCCGCTGCCAAATCGCCGCCGCCGCCGCCGCCGCCCCCGCCGCCGCCGCCGCCGCCGTCGCCGCCCCCCCCGCCGCCACCGCCGCAGCCGCCGCAGCCGCTGCCCCCGCCGCAGCCGCCGCCGCCGCCGCCGCCGCTAAGTGTACTCTGTATTGTTTTTTTGACAGGGATGGTGGGGGGAGGCCGCATCGTGTTCGCTGCGCATGCTCCGAATTTGGAGACAGAGTGTGTTTTGTATTTTTTTACAAGGGATGGTGGAGGCAGAGTGTGTTTTGTATTTTTTTACAAGGGATGGTGGGGGGGTGCCCGCATGGACCTGGGTTGGCTCCTGGTCGCCTGGGGGAGGGGGTGTAGATTAATAGGGAACCGTGACACAGTGATAAGCCACTCCCCGAAGGGGAAGAAGGATGGGTGGAAGAGGAAACTCCCTAAACCACCGACGCCCAGAGGGCTGGTGGGATGTGCAGGAGATCGTGGCTTCGGGGGCGCGAGTATGGCGTATTTTACTAGGGATCGTGGCTTCGGGGACGCGAGCGCGGTGCAAGTTGCGAGGGATCGTGACCTCGGAGACGCGAGCGTGGTGTAATTTAAAAGAGATCGTGGTGCCGGGAGCGTGAACGTGGCGTAATTTACAAGGGATCGTGACCCCAGAAGCGCGATTGTAGTGTAATTTGCTAGAAATCGTGGCCTCGGGGGCGCGACTACGGTGTATTCGAGGAGGGATCGTGGCTTCAGGGGCGCGAATGTTGTGCAATTTTTGAGGGATCGTGGCCTCCCGGGCGCGAACGCCGTGTAATTTACTAGGGGTTCTTGCGTGGGGGGGGGATACGTTTGTAATTTTACGTGTCCCACGGCCCCGCAGGAATTCAGAGCACCCGGCGCGGGGGTGATACGCGGACGTTTTTCGGCTCCCTCCTTCGCGCGTTTTTTTCTTATATATATATATATATATATTAATAAAGTATTATTATTATTATTAGGACTATTATTATTGTTATTCTTCTTCTTCTTCTTCTTATTATTATTATTTTTTATTATTATCATTACTATTATTATCATTATTATTACTATTATTATTATTATTATTATTATTATTATTATATGTTTAACTATATATACACTTTTTAACAGTAGGAAGCAGCAATCAGGACTGTAACATTGAAGACTAGAACTTGGAACTCCTCGGCGTTTTTCGCTTTACTAAGAGAAGCGCCCTCTGGAAGGACCATTCCCCGATGGGCTTGCCATTCAGGCGAGAGGATCGTGGCCTCGTAGAGAGTTCCACCGATGGGTCCGAGCGGGCGCCGAGACGCACACGTGCCCGTGCGTCCCTCTCGGCACACCCCGCGCGGGCATCGTGGGCCGCTCCACCTGCGGTTGCAGTCGGCGCAGACGCATGGCGCCACCGCGCCCACGTCGGCACGCCCTCACGCGCACCTCCTCCTCCTCCTCCTCCTCCTCCTCCTCCTTCTCCTCCTCCTCCTCCGTAGCAATTTTGGCTCAACCCGCATGCTAGGTCGGGGCCCCAGGCGCGCCCCTCTCTCCGCTGCATGTCTATGGCTGCTGGCGCTGCTCCGGTGGTGTGCACGTTCATCGGCTGAGATGGCCCACCAGCGTTCGTCGACGGCTCGCGAAGCGCGTGCTCGGCGTGCTCGCCGACTGGGTTTTCTGCATGTTCCTCCTCGTGGCCACCGTTTCATCGCTGTGCCTGCTGCTCTTCATGCGAATGCTAAAAATATGTGCCAAGGACTTGCTTTGCACGCTCGTCTGCAGTCTGGGAACGGTGTTCGCTCCCACGGGCTTCGTCAAGCTGTTCTTCTTGCGCGTGATCGGGTGGGTCTTGATGCGACGGCTGCTCATCTTCGTGTTCATGTTCAGGCTGGCAGGGCCAAGCACCAGGTGCCATCGATGCCGCCCGGCGCGACCGTCGTCCCGCCGGATGCAGTGCGCACCACTTTGGTGCTGCAGGATCTCCTCCCTCAGCGCGGCTCTCTTCCCATCGTTCCTGTGAGCATTTGTGCGGGTACCCATTTACACAAGGTGGCTGCTTACATCTCTTCTTTTGCTGGTGACTCCGTCCAAGGTGCTGATGGAGTCAATGAGCGGCGTGATCATGCTGGTCCACAAGTTGTTGGCCCTCCCTCGCCGCCGTGCGTGTCGTCTGACTCCGCTGTTCGCCACGTTTGTCAGCACGCGGATGGTACACCTGCTGCAGCTGGACTTCCTCAAGTTGAGGATGTTGGATCTGGAGATCTTGCTCTGCGCCGCCGTGAGCAGTGTGGCCATCGTCCGACGCTGCCTGGTGTGGCTGCTGATTCTCGTGATGCTGTTCCAGCTTCGTCTTTCTCGATGCCTGGTGCGGCGGTTGCTCCTTACTGGGCTGTGCATGTTACTCTGTGTACCTCGCTGCCTGGGGTGGCTGCTGACCCTACCTGTGGCGCACCTGTTCCTCATCGTGACTTGGCTGATTGTTGTGGTCAACATGCTGCTGCTTGGTCTGCTGCTGCTGGTCTTCCTGAAGGCGGGGGCACTGGATCTGGAGTTGTTGCTCATGCTACGTCGTCCTCACTACCCGGTGCGGCTATTGATCCTGCCTGGGTTGTGCATGTTCCTCTTCGTCATGTGTCTGATAGACGTCCTCATCTTCCTACCGGTATTCCGGATGGTCGTTCCGCTGCCGCTGCTGGTGGCGCGCGGCGCAGGTCGCTGCTCAGTTTCGGCGTTGGCAAGGGCCGCTCTGACTGTGAGAACGAGCTGCCCCCACCTGGAGGTCGTGATGAGTTTCGACATGATGACCTGGCTGCTCAAGAACAGCGACCATTGCGCTCCAAACAGGACATATTCGACCTCATGCGGCCGCTCGCTGAGAGTATGCGCAAGATGTGCGAGGATATCCACCTTCTTCAAGATCAACTTCGTGAACTTCGGCATGCTGGCAAGTGTGGTGCTCCTCCTGCTGCTGGTCATTCTGATCGTGCTGGTCTACCTCGTTGCGGTGCGTGTGGCTCTGGCGGGTATCGGGCCGCCCACGACCGATCGCAAGTTGTTGTGCACGTGGACGCTGTTGCGAGTGGCGCGGCTACGCCTAGTCCTGGTGCTCCTGTGTCTCGACACCCTGAACTTCGAGAAGCTGACCGTGATCTTCGGCATGCTGTAGACGAGCCTATTGCTGGTGCCCCGCGTGATCGCCCTCTGGTTGCCGCTGGTTCTTGTGGCGTTCTTCGGCCTCCTCCTGGCGAGTGTGACGTTCATTGTGATCGAGCTGCTATTCTGAGTGACGTTGCTTCTCCGCCTTGTCTGGCTGGTCAGTGCCAGGCTTCGCCCAAGGTCTTCGATTTCCACTGCCTGAAGGTCCTCGCTGTCGGCCCGCGGACTGCGACGACGCTCGCATGCAGATACTTTCCAAATTGCCGGTATGGTGACACCTGCAAGTACTCCCACCTCGAGGATATCACGGAGGCCGCGGTTGCTGCGGAGCACGATCGCCTGTCTCGTTTATGCCCGGGTCTTGCTTCGGCAACGTCGTTGGCTACTTCTCTTTGGGGTGAGCGTGCTGCTGGCCGGAATGCGATCGAGATTCATGCACTTCTTCACGATAGCGCTGATATGCGTGAATGTGGCGGTGGTCCCGCATGTGTTGAGCTACGTCCTGATTGTCGTGCGGACTTTCTCCCTGAAAGCGCTGATCTGGGTGAACAAGGTGGTGCTCCATCGTTTGCTGTGTACCCTGCTGTTCTTCCTGAAAGCGATGAACTACATGATTGCGGAAGTGATCCCGGCGCTGGTGCTCTTCTTCCTGGTGCCGACCTCCCGCTTGACAACGCTGATCTACATGCTAGTGGTGGCCCCCCTGCCACCGTCGGCCTTCCTCGGGATGCTCGAGCCGTGCCCCTGCCTGACGGAGACGCTCTGCATGGCTCTAATGGCGATCCCGCCAGTGCTGAACTACCCCCTGGTGTTCGTGGCGTCCGTCCTCGTGACCACGGTGCTATGCACTCTGGCATCGACTTCACCAAATTCGATCATATCAAGGACTCGGACGATGAGTGCGAGAAGTCGGAGGCCTCCCTCGACGAGTTGTTTTTGTCTACGCCTGCCTGCGGTTGATGCGCCGCACCCATGAAGAAGCCGCTTCGATGCGGTGTTTGCAAGTTGGTGGAGTATTGCTCCCCGAGATGCCAGAGGATCGATTGGAAGTACCACAAGCGTTTCTGCAAGAAGCCCGAGAGCTGCGACACCGTCTTCGACCGCCTCGCGGCTTGGTCACCGACTACTTCACAGATGACTCTGCCGTTTTCCTCTTCGGGCTGCGGACTTTCTGAGGTGCTCCCGCCGTCGCGCTAGTCGGGCGCGAGCTCGCGTTTCCGGGACGCTCGCTCCTCCTCCTCCTCCTCCTCCTCCTCCTCCTCCTCCTCCTCCTCCTCCTCCTCCCCCCCTCCTCCCCCTCCTCCCCCTCCACCCCCATCATGCCCCTCCCCCCCCTCCCCCTCCGCCTCATCCTCCTCCTCCTCCTCCTCCTCCTCCTCCTGCTCCTGCTCCTGCCCTCCCCTCCTCCTCCTCCTCCTCCTCCTCTCCTCTCTCCTCCTCCTCCTCCTCCTCCTCCTCCTCCTCCTCTTCCTCCTCCTCCACCTCCCCGGCGCCACCGCGCCCAGTTCGGCGTACCTGTCGCGGGGGTCGTGGCCACCTTCGGTGCCACCACGTGCGGTCTCGGCGGGCGCAGACACACGGCGGCGCCGCGTCCATCCTGATACAGCCCTCTGCGATACTTACGCCCGCCTGCAGCAGAAACACCGAACATCCCCCCCGCACCCCGCATCTCAAAGTTGGCGGACGACCGCGCTGGAAGGGAGTGCGGGGTGTTGAGAGTCAAACGCCCACCCTTGAACGGAGCCGATCGATTCCTCATCAGCCTTGAAATGCAGGGGCGAGGGAGGCGTGTCTCGATGTCTTGTTGCCTAGCCCTGCCATGGGCGTTCATTTCGCAACCAGCGGTGTCCCGCTCGCACATCGTGGCCCCATATGGAGCCCCACGGAAAATCTAAGGGGGCAGACGCGTGGAGGTGCAGTGCTTTGGCGCACCCCTCACAGTGATCGTCGCCACACTAGGCAGCTCCAGCCATGGTCTCATTGAGCTTGACCGCATGGCGGCGCTGCGCCCATTTCAGAACATGCCAGACGAGGCTCGTCCTTCAGATGAATCCAACGACGGCCCCAGTAGGAGTGTTCGCCTGGCGGCGCCGCAACCATTCCAGCAAATCTCTCAAACGGATCGTGCCCCACAGAGAGGCCAAAACTACGGCCTCACCGGGCGTGTTTGCATGGGGGCGCCTGTGCCCGTCTCGGCACACCCCTCACGCGGATCGTGCTTTAAACGGAGATCCACGTACGGCCTAAGTGTGCGGATTTGCATGCGGGCCTCCGTCCACCTTGGCGCAGCCCTCACTCGGATCGCGCCCCTTCGGCAGACCTCCAAAGGGGCCCTTTCGCAAAGTTTTTGCGTGTGTGTGTGTGTGTGTGTGTGTTTCGGTGCTCCCCGTCGCCGCCCACTCGCGACGTACCTCCTGTTTGGGACGCGCGTCGCTCACTCACTGTCCCCTGCGCCATCAGTGCTTCTCTGCTGCACCACGCTGGACCGCCCATGGCGTGGGCCGCCCAGCGTCGTTACCCCGCTTCTGCACCTTTCGGTGCTCCCCGCCGCCGCCCCCTCGCGACGTACCTCCCGCTTGGGACGCGCGTCGCTCACTTATTGTCCCCTGCACCATTTCGGTGTTTCTCTGCTGCATCACGCTGGACCGCCCATTGGGCCGCCCTGCGTTGCTTCTCGGCTTCTGCAGCTTTCGGTGCTCCCCTCCCTCCGCGGCAACCCCGAGCTGTCTCCTCCCGTTGCGATGCTGTTCCGCCCCGCCGCCTGCGGGCGTTTGGGACGCTTTGTCCGCCGCCCCCCCCCTCTCTGCCTTCTGGCCACCTGACGCGTCCTTGGGCGGTCACGCCGCCATGCCCCTGTCGCTGCCAGCCACCTGGCTGCGTTACCACCTCCTTCCGGCAGCCCCGCGCTTCCCCCTCCCGTTGCGCTGCTGCTCCTCCCCGCCGCCTGCGGGCACACCCGGGACGCTTCGCCCGCCGCCTCCGCCCCACCTCTCCCGGCCAGCTCCCTGGCCACCTGGCGCGCCCCTAGGCGGTCACGCCGCTATGCCCCTGTCACTGCCAGCCATCTGGCTGCCTTGCTCCTGCCTCCGCACGGCTCAGTGCTGTGCCTACTCCTCGGCGCGCCGCGGTTCCTCTGCCGTTCGTGGTGTCCCACTGCGCCCGCCCGCCAGCTCCGGCTGCTGGCAGCCGCCCTCCCGCCGCCCTTGCCATCGTGTTTTGCCACGGCCGCCCACCGCGCTCTGGCCCTGCGCGCCTCGCTGCTGCTGCACCTCCCCTGGCTCCTCATCGTCGAACTCTTCGACGTCTGAGCGTCCCTTCTCTCGGCCGGCCCCCCCCGCCCCTCTTTGCCCTCCGGCCAATTCGCTAGTTAGTGCCTTTTCTAGCTTCTCGCTGGAGCGAAGTTCGCCGCTTTGCCGCTGACGAAAAAATGGTGTGTGTGTGTGTCGGTGTGTGTGTGTGTGTGTGCGCATGTGTGCATGCCGCTTATAAACAAAATAATAACAGCCTGGCGGATGACCCAACCATATGCAGTTGTGCATACCGCAATTTTGAATATCAGCTTCGCTCGCGCACCCTATGGGGCACAAACCGTGCGAGGGGGCGTGCCGAAATGCGTGGCGTGGCGGAGTCCACAATACGAACAAAGACGGTCGGTCTGACTGAGTGCGAGAGATTGAGGACAGGTGAGCCTCAGCGCGAGTGGGTCTGATTGTGAATGAGTCTGCGTGCGAATCAGTCTACGTGCATGAATGTCGACGCCCATCTCGGCACGCTCCTCGCGAGGATCGCGCCCGCTTCTTTTTTTTTTCTCCCAACCATCTTGTGGTGTTGTATCCTTGTTCTGAAGAGACAGCGCCCGCGTCCTCCTTCCTACCTTTTCCCCC